CGGTAAGAGTCCTTGTTGCCGGATGTTGTTTATCGTCATACCCAGGACGATCTATTATTGATTTCCACGTCATGATACCAATGTATTAAACTGTATCAACTTGTCAGCGTTTTTTGTTTTTTTATAACTACCCACTGAGTGGTCAACGAAATCGAGATACGAGAGTTTCAAAGCGATCATCCGCTGTCTGCAAGTAAGAAAAACGGAAATAATAATAAAAACTTTCTGGGTCAGATGACACTCGGTCGGAAATTAGAGAATTCCGTTAAAGTTTGCTGCCACAGAAGAGAGAAACTGTGCGTCTAAGGAATCAGAGACAAAGAGACTGCGAAAGTAGAGTCATACAGAGACGGTGTTCTCGCGAGCCGAAAGGAATTTTTAATCTGTTAGTCTGTCGTGAGAGAAGACAGAATTAACAGTAAAGATTTCTCAAGTGTCGGGTGATAAGAGTTTCGAATATGAGAAAAGTGAGAAGTCTGTTGCTTCCGATAAACAAGTTTCTTTATTCGTGGATCAGTTCATCTGGCATTGTCTGGTGAAAAAGTAAGTTGCACTTGGGATGTTTTCGTTGTTACTTCTGTCTTCTTTCACGATAAGCTAACAGGTCATGTCTTCGCGAACACTGTTTCCGTCTACATTTCTTCTTAGTAACATGACTTCTGACGGCACCTTTACTGTGACTTCTCTACCCACAATGCAACCTGATTAAGTCCATGACCAAAATTCCCTCTTTTCCGGCCGAGCATCACATAATCAAGAAAGTTATTATTCTTGTTTCATTTTTCGCTACTTTTGCTGTCAGTATCTGTCTATATTTCTGAGATGAGGTATTATGTACACTATTTACATTATTCGGACTATTGTCCTCATATTTGTCGCCATATTTATTACAACGTTTCGGCCTTCTTCAGGTGGTTGGAATGTCGACCTGAACCCTTTACTTCGCTCACTGGGATAAACTGTTCTAGTTCCACGTGCCATGTTTAATGGATGTCAGTTATCAGTTATCTCCTGTTAATTCCCCTCTGCGAGTTCTCCACTGCCTTACCTGGGTATTGAACTCACACTCTTTGGGTCCTGTCACTGGATCTAACTAACGCCTTTATCCCCTGTGCCATCAACAAAGTGGAGATAGTATGATTTATTTTTGTGGTGGGAGTTGTAGACTTGAAATAGTAGCGAATTTCAGATGCTGTTAAGATGATAGCTTAAAAATATATTTAGGAGCGTGTGAAGGCACACGTAGATCCAGAGTTCAAGCAGTGAAGCGTTTTCATGAAAAAAAAATAACAATTATACTCTACAAATCTACATCGTATTAAGTGTAGAAAATTGATAAATATCTGAAAATAAAATGGATTTCAAAGACCCTCGTTTGATGAAGTGGCAATCTTGCTCATCCAAGCTTAATCAAATTGAAAAATTTACATAGACGAAAAAGCAAATTCCAGGGAAGATGAACATTAGAACGCAATTCTGGATTATGTATAATTTGTTTCATGTAAAGAAATGCTGCTGGTTAGAAAATAAATAGAACAGCTTTTGAAACTAGTTTTAGAACAAGGGACATACAATTCCGATTTATGGCGCTAAAACTTTGTCTCATTACAATGACAAGATATTCAACGTTTTGCTTAGAATATTTGTAAACTTGATGTGTGTATTGTGATCATAATTTTCAATTACAATACCGTGTTAATTGGAGCTTTAATAACCTGGTTAATAATGTGGAATTTGGAATATCTGGTAAAGGTAATTAAAACGGCTGTCCCTTAAGAGCAGAATGTAGTCAACTGTAATTTATATATAAGCAAATTATCCTGAAACACCGCAAATATTCTGTGAATCCCTTAATGATTTTTTATTGGAAAAGAATCAAAAGCAGATAATAGCATAAGAGGCAGGCACGCACATATCTATCTATCTATCTATCTATCTATGTCTATATCTCTTTCTATCTATCTATATTTCTCTCTACCTATCTACCTATTTATCTATTTGTCTATCTGTATATCTATCTATTTCTCTCTATATATATATCTATCTATCTATATTTCTTATATAAAATGATTAATACAAATAAAATGTTATATTCAGCACTTCGACGTCAGAGTTTAGTAGACAAACCCTTTTCCGTAATCGTTCTGTCCACTCGTCAGGTGGTTTCAGCAATTGACTGCCGTTTTTGTCATCTTTCGTTATCTTTTACTAAATATTTTTGGTATATATATATATATATATATATATATATATATATATATATATATATATAATAAATAAATTTGAGGCATTAATAATTTATAATGAAATTTAATTCAAATATATTTTCAACTTTATTTACACTGACTCGTTGGCATTTATCAGGAAGATCTGATTTTGTGTAAAATGACGCAAATTCAATGCTAAAAAACGTTTTCAAGGAACAGTTTAGTTTGGTTCTCATTAGAAAAAAAAATTTCTGTAACAGAATGTTTTACAGGAGCCCGCCTCTCTACTAAAAAAAAAGAAACCTTTTTTTCTTTAATCCACTGTATATGCTGCCACTTCCAATCTTTAAAACTAATGTATGTTAGTGCACACTAAATTTATTCTCATCTGCCATGTTCGATTAGTAGTTTAAATGGCATTCCGTCATTTCAAATGCTTCCCTAAAATAACTCGATATATATGGAAAACTGAAAATTCCTGGCTACCACCAATAAGCCCTTACTCACAAAAATCTGATCTTTGTTTAAATGAGCCGATTTTATGTAGTAATCTTTCTGAAAAGTTTTCAGCACCACCTACATCTATAGAAAGGAGAGATATAGTTCATGTATAGGCGTGATAGTTGTCTGTTTTACTCGGTATCAAAAATTAGTTATCAAACACAAGTAAAAAAAAAAAAATAAAAAAGTATTTCAAATGCTGATTGCTAAAATAATTTAGTGTTTGGTGCAACACAATTCTCTAACAATTCCCTTGTTAATTGATCTTTTTTATCATTTTACACCAAGCAAGGCAATAAAGCCACTCAGACGCAATGACTTACTGAGTGCGAGAGAATATAATAAAAAACAAACATTATTAAGTAGAGAAAGCTAAAAGAACAGGAAATAAGAATACAGTAAATAATGATTAGCATTACATTTAAATTTTTGAAGATAAGAGTTGAACAGGAATACCAGACGCCGGAAGAGAGTTCCACAAGCGAGATGTGCGAGGAAAGAAACTCTCAGCATAGAACCTGCGGTTACATTTAGCTATTTCAACTGTAAAACGATGAGACTTTGCTGCCAATCTAGTACTGCACTTAAATTCATAAAGTCTAAGTACCATAGAGGAAAGTTCATCAGAACAATTACCATGAAAGTATTAATAGAAAAGGCAGAGGGAAGCTATGTTACAGCGATGTGAAAGTGACTGAAGCCGAGATACCAGATCAGGACCAATAACATTGCATATTCTTCTTTGGATTTTATCAAGAATCTCTAAATATATTCGAGGAGCACCAGACCAAATGTGACAGTAATATTCAAAGAATGGTAGACTTATAAATATGGTGAATAGATTTTATGACTACAAAATCACTGCAAACGCAATCATAAAATATTTAATAGTATTTATGTTCGCTTGACAGGTCAGGTCATTCACCTTCAAGACAGCAGGATAGCCAATGTTCTCAGATGAGTTGATCTATGACACTGGGGGTCCAGTGTAACCCAAGGAAGCGCTTTTACAGATTGCTTAAGAGTCTCTTGCAGCTTGTCATAAAAAGAAGATACAGAGTGGGGAAACTGCTGATCGAAATTCTTGAATGCACTAAGATTTTCCAAGAACATCCAATGAGTTGGGCAAATTTGAAGCGTGCAACTAAGAAAGAAGAACTCATTAATACAGCAATCCATCAATTTACCTGTGATTAATGTGGCAAATCCCCGTAATCGAGTCTAGCGCAATGAATTCTTCATAAGACTTGTGACTAATGGTTTGCTTTTGGGCCATATTAAGCTTAGCTATTATGCTTTACATTGTGGCTTACTTGCGTAATTTCCACTAGTTCGAACTTGGATAACAAATGTTCAGATGAGCTTCTTTCTTTAGTTCCACATCATGCGACATCCACGGGGCCGAATCACCGTCATTTCTTCAGTATTAGAACTGTAAAGAGAAAGTTATAATTATCTTTTGCCTGAAACCTGTTACTTTGTGGAACATAATCCCGCATGGATGCTTTCTTGAATACTATAAACTTAATGTCTGTCTATATTTTTCAGATGAGCTATTCTAAGTATTTACATTATTTACATTATTCGGACTGTTGTCCACATCTTTATTTTCATATTCAATACGTTTCGGCCGTTGTAAGTTCCGGTCTTCTTCAGGTGATTGAAATTTGGACCTGAACGCTTTATTTCATCCACCGGGGTAGATTGTTCTAGTTCCACGTGCCATGGGTGTCTCATTTATCTTCCATTTTTATGTTTTTTTTTTATCTCCAATTTTTTGTTCACCACTGTAGTAGCCAAGGACACATAGCCCAGTGGTTTGATCCAATGATTTAACCCAAAGAGTTGTGAGTTCAATACCTGGCTACTGCAGTGCTGAACAAAAACTTAGAGGGCTGAGTTAAAGGGAGATAACTGCGGCATCCAGAAGAGTTATGGCATGTGGAAGTAGAACAATCTACCCGGGTGGACGAAATAAAGGGTTCAATTTGAAATGTATCACTTGAAGAAGGCCGGAGTGTACAACAGCCGAAACGTCGTGAATACGGCAATAAAGATTAGGACAACAGTCCGAACAATGTTAATAATGTAAATAATTACAATACCTCATCTCAGAAATATAGACAGATCCTGAAGAAGGCCGGAGCGTACAACAGCCGAAACCTCGTGAATACGGCAATAAAGATGAGGATAACAGTCAGAACAATATAAATAATCTAAACTACAGCCTTAATTCTTTCGAGTCGTGTGTTAATCGGAATTTTTCCATCTTACCACCAACTCTTTCGTCTTACAGTCACATCACGTTGAAACACCGGTTCCTGTACGATCACCGAAGTTAAGCAACGTCGAGCTTGATCAGTAATTAGATGGGTGACCGTTTGAGAATACCAAGTGCTGTAAGCTTGGATGTGTGAATTGTTTGATTAATAATGGCTCAAAATTGTTAACCGTAGGGCCGAGTTCCAATTTCAATTCAGGTTTGTTATATTCATTTACGCGTAAATATTCCCAGGAAAAGATATGAATCCACTTCTTCTCCCGCCAGCCATGGGTTAATTAGTAAGACTTGTATCACGAAACCATTATTATCCCCACAAATAAAATAAAATTACGTATAAAATATTTAGATTTCGGCATTTAATAACTCTTAGAGGATATGCCGCTAAACAAAAACAATCAGTCATTCCCCTCTTTCATTCGTATTAAACATATTATGCCCTATAACTATTTTATCAGTAACCCTCTACCTTGGGCGGCACTCGAGGCTTGTAGTGCGTGAATTTAAAAAAAAAAAGAATTAAACAGGATTTCAAATGCTGATTTGCTTGGTAGGTTGATTTTTGTTAGAGCGAAGATTGGCGCAGCAAGATCTTCTTACTGCTTTTGTCCTATGTTTAGCTTTATATACAACTAGGTTCAGTTTAGTAAACATTGGAAGTTCATTTGTGCGTCTTTATCAGTTTACGGAAGCGCAGAAGAATCAAAAATTGTAATCAAGAACCTAGTTAATGATTTTCGTGAAATTGCTTGCGGGTGTCTGTTAAATGTGATTCATTGTGTTTTGTTTTTAACTTGAGACCCAATTATGCATTTCAGTTAATGATTAAATTTGTTTAATTACTTGTGAATGCGAAACATTTGACATTTTCTGATGAAAATTTTTCATTTGTAGACAGAGGTTGCTACCTAATAAGTTCTTTTTTTATGGTAATTATTTTAATGAGTTTTCTTCTTTCATACCGAGACGTTATGAATTTAAATTTACTTACTAGATTTTCTGTAAGGTCTCGTCATCTTACAGATGAAATCTCGAGATGTAACCGTAAGTTCTATGCTAACAGTTTCTTCTCTCGTGCTTCTCACTTATGGAACTCTCTCCCGGCTTCTTGCTTTTCCAGTCGAGTTTGATCTCCAAAAAATTTAAATGCAATATCAGTCGTTATTTTCTGTTTTCTTAATTCTTGTTCTTCTTTCCCCTTAAGAATTTTTCTCTCACACTCAGTAACCCCCTTGCATCTGAGCGGCTATATTACCTTGCTCGGAGTGAAATGATTAAAAAAAAACTCAAAATGTTAAATAAGTATTATTCAATCTCAAAATATATATGTACTAGCTGATTTAACCGAAGCTGTGGGGAATCTAGAAACGCAATTGTCTTCGGCTGTGTTTCCCAATCTATTGGTCGCAACATTGAGGTGGGTCGCAATCCGACTTATGAGAGCCACAAAAAGGTTTGGAAAAATAAGATATTAAAAAGAAAAATATGGTGTAATTATATATATATATATATATACATTAGACACACCAATTCGTTCACTAGCTCAGTCACTAAATCTACTTTCAAAATATACCACGACTAACTGTAGAAGGCATATCATAATTTACCTCCTAGAATGCACACTATGCCAGAAACAATATGTAGGAAAATCTGAATGGCCTTTTCACTCCAGAATTAATAATTATCGTAATCGAATTAAGTCAGTTCCCCACAAAAGAACAACATTTCTGCCTAGAAAAACACGATTTTAAAACCTATGCTAAATTCACTATAAATGAGAATTTAGAAAAGTTCAGAGCAGATAATATTAGAAAAAAATTTAGAAGACCATGAAGATAAGTAGATTCTGCGCCTAAAAACGTTCCATCCAGACGGGCTTAATCAGGCCCTACCCACAATTCTCACCCACACAAGACAGACATGCTTGCGGAGGTGTTGAGAACGCACACTTATACACACACCCATAATATAATACACACACACACACACATCATACTCACTCACTCACTCCCTAAGAACCAGATAACATACACTTAAGAGAGACGCATCTCCTTTTCAGCAACCAATAAAACTGTGTCAAAATGACCAGCTCTTATCTTAAATAACAACTTAAAAGAGACTGACCAACATAAAGACTGACCAAAATTCATGTTAAAAAAAAAATAAAAAAACCCGACAAAAGTTCATTTTCTCCATTGAGACATTCATTTCTGTAGTTCACTGCTACTAAAAAGCAGAATTTTTTTCTCCTGATGATGGCCATGCTGGCCGAAACTAGTCGAGGAATCTAAGTAAAATAATAAAAAAGTGAGAATATTAATATACAACCCAGTGTATCTGAAGATTTAAATTTTTAAATTTTTTTGTCCAAAACATATAATATATTTTATATATATAAAATATATAATATATATATATATATATATATATATATATATATTATATATATATATATATATAATATATATATAATTATATATATAATATATATATATATATATATAATATATATATAAATATATATATATATATATATATATATATATATATATAAATATATATATATATATATATATATATATATATATATATATATATATATATATATATATATATATATGTTTTAAGTATATCTGATTAAACAATTTAGTTATGTTTGTTTATTTTTAATAATTATTTTATAAGTTTATTTTTCGTGATCACGTATAAGATTTGTTGTTTCAAGCGAGCAACGAAGGTACTAAGGTTGTACTTATTGATTTTTCATTTTGATGAGTACTTTCAAAATCTTCCACTATCATCTTCAGGGTTAGTATGACTAAAAGAAATAATTGTGTTTGTTTGAACTAAACTTTTTCGTTTGTGGTTAAATCATTAATAGTTCCGGTCATGGTAATTTGTAAGATTGCCTTTCAAATTTTGATATAAATCAAATAGAACATAATACTTTCTCAAATAACCCTAAACATATCAATCTTTTATATCGTAATCAGATGCATTGTAAATATAAACAAGATCTACACAAACATTCCTGTTCAAATTCACAATTTAGAAGCATATTAGACGACAATATCTATATATTTCACCAAGAAGGTAATAAGCAGAAACTACAGACTCCCGAAGCCATCTTTAGTAAAAAGTTAAAACCACCACTTAACAAAATTAATTATAAATATAGTATAAATATTGTGAAATGCTTTTAATATAAAGTTCTTTAGAAATATTTGTTAAAAATAAAAACAAGCAAAATCTATCAATAAAGCTTATACGTGATTCTGGAAGGATGTTATTGAAAATAAATACAACATGTCTAAATTGTTATACGAAATATATATATATGTGGGTACACGCCTATGTGTATGTATATACGTGTATATGTTATTGTGTATGTGTGTATTCGCATGTGTTTTTGAGCATAAAAATATAGGTCCTTGCTTGATTAGATAATCGTTATATTTATTTTTTATATGTTTATATTTCATTTGTAACCTGTAGTCGATATTAGATTTGTCAAATTTTCTCATTTACACAGCGGCCCTTTCAGTAAATGTCCTTCAATTTTAGTTTCCTTCGCCCCATCTCTCCCCCCACCTCTTCTTTCCTTTCCCTCCCTCTTATTCTGATCTTCAACATTAGATCGTCTATGGTGTGTGTATGTCACCACCAAATGTATCTTTATGCATTAGACATCAGACAACATTCATATTTCTCTTACTTAAACCCCTTCCACTCACCTCTCCTAAAAATTCTCTCTGTTAAGGTTTAATCTCCCTCCTTCTCTAGTCTGTTACCCTCTCTTTAGCTCTAACATTCGTCCCACACCCTCATACTTACACTCTCTCTAAATTCTGTTTTTATTTCCGGAGTTGTTTTTTTCTGTTTTCTTTTTTTGAATTTGTAGGTCTGATGAATTGGATCGTATTTACGATTCCAATGGAATAAATTATGACCATGGAATATTAGTATTTAAGCCTTTTATTATATATATATATATATATATATATATATATATATATATATATATATATATATAAGATAAAAGAAGGAAATAGATCTCAATCTAACATGTTTCACTTTATTAAATATTCGTCAGAGGTCAAGAAAAAATATAAAAAGTGATAAAAGGTGAAGAGACGCAGATTTAATGTAGAGAATGTTTCTCACACATATTTGAATATTATGTCACTTATCTAACCAATAAGAAATATCAAAACGCAACAAATTATTAATCTGAGTCTCTTTGTTTTTTATCATTTCTGTTCTTATCTATGAAGTAAAACTTAGAAATATACTCTTAAGGTGTGCTATATTTATGGGATAAAGTGCTCAATAGCAGAGAGAGAGAGAGAGAGAGAGAAAGCGTGTGTAAATATAAATGTGAACATTGAAGTGGCGACCGGCTGTTTCATGCCTGACGATTGCGTCTAGAATAAAACGGCCTGTCGCCTCTAAGTGTTGACTTCAATGTTCACTGATATATATATATATATATATATATATATATATAATATAAATATATATAATATAATATATATATAATAAATATAATATATATATATATATATATATATATATATATAATAATAATATATATATATATATATATATATATATATATATATATATATATATATAAATAAATATAATATATATATATATATATATAAATAAATATAATATAATAATAAATATATATATATATATATATATATATATATATATATATATATATATATATATGTGTGTGTGTAATAAACTGATTTAAAAATATGATTTCATCGCTACACAGGAATTACCATGTTTCAAAAACAGAAACTAAAAACTTCAAATTCAATTATGTAATTAAATTAAAAGCCTTAGCTCTGTTTCATTTTCAAGCGAATTTTGGAATATCTTACTTTGAAATTTACTGAGTTTTATAAGCACATACATTCATAATATTTGCTTCCAAGCATACGGAGAAATCCAATCATTTTAACAAGGGGCGGTAGTGTATTCATTTATACTAACGACTATTGTATCAAATATGAGTTACTTTTGAAAAGAGGTTAAGTCTAGGTAGGGTAGGGTGCCTTTTTCAACGAATTATGACATCTGTTCAACGCATGTCGTCTGGTTTTTAG